TGTCAACATCATCACTGTCAAAATCATCGTTAATGTCAACATCATCGTAATTGTCAACATCATCAACATCATCGTCAACATGACCATCGTCATTGTCAACTCTATCATTACCACTACTGTATTCCGTATCATCATCCGCTATGACATCACCTGCATTACCAAAGACCCCCCATGTAGCCTGTAATAGGCTGTTGGGGCAAGTTCTGTTAGCGAGTAGCACCTATGAAGGCCGGCACGGCACACGAGGGGGTGGGTGGCCAGCATATCGCCCGGCCGCCTTTGTCTCCCCAGTGGCGATGCTTATACACTGCACCAAGTACTCATGTGAGGCTGAGTCGACCTAGGGGAGGCCCAGGACCGGTTCAGATAATCATCACTGGCGTTGGCCGTGAGCGGGAATCGAACTCGGGTGGTAGCCGGTTTCGTAGCACAGCGCGCTAACCGCTGTCATCAATACCACCACCACCACGATAATGGCATCTGTAGTAGCAGCAGCTGCAGCACCATAATTATATCTGCTCAACCTCACAATCAAGCATATCAACCACGATATCACAATTATCTGCTTATAATCATAACAATCACCGTCACGATCATCAGCAGCTGTCTTCTTCGTCATCGCCACCACCACCACGATTGTCTGAATGCATTGCATGTTACTGTCATGGATGACTACAAATGCGGCACTTCTTGGATGAACTTTATTGTCCACAGCAACAACAACAACGCCCAGTGCCCACCACCAGCTCGCTCCGCTCCCTTGCTTCTTTCTCCTGAGCGCCCCCCCCCCCTCTCTCTCCTCCCTTTCATCCCCCCCCCCGCCTCTCTCATTCCCTTCCTTCTCACCGATCCCTCTGCACCCTTCTAACAATCCCCGCCTTCTGTCCCTCTTCCAAACCTTCCCGACAATGGCTATCGAGCGAGCTCGCCATATCTCTCCTTATGCAGCATCGCCCCCTCGTGGCGACTACGGCGTAAACGATATCCATCTCACCCGCATGCCCTGACAAAGACGACGTTATCCGAGATGTCGAACATCCTGGACATTGTTGCCCGCTCGATCCTGACCTCTCACCCCCTACAAGGTGCTGGGCCCAGGGCCTTCTCTCCCACCGGGTACTTCTGATGATGCGGCCAGGGAAATCGACACACGAGAATTCAGCCGTCCTCTACCAGGTAACGATCGTGATGATGGCGATGGTGGTGGACATTGTTGGTGGTGATTGTGGTGGTGACGAATCTATAGAGAGGGTGATTATTATTGTTGCTGTAATTAATGAGGATGATAACGCTAAGAACAATGATGTCAGAGATTGTGGAGAAAATGCCATAACGCCGCTGCTGCTGATGAATGTTTCTTGGTGGTGATGGGGGAAGATGTGACTAAATTCAGGATGTCCTCTCATGTCATGCCATCAGTCATAGATGTATTTATCCAGTATCGGGTGGGAGTGGGTGTATGGGTGTGAGTTGATGGGGGGGTAAGTGGGAGTGTGTGTGTGAGTTGGTGGATGAGTGGGTGGATGGTTGGTATAATAGCCACTGTCACACGGCGGTACACTACCGTGTAACCGTGGCAATTACACCACTGTTTAACAGGTAGGGGAGGGAGGGGCTCAAGGCTTTTGTGATATAACGCGGAACGCGCCATCATACTACAGATCGCGCACCATTATCGTGCAGAAAGGCGCACCGCTACAACGTGGAACGCGCACCATTGTAATGTGGAACGTGCACCGTGATAACACGGTTTCTGAGCGATTGTCGACTAACTACTTTCCTGAGCTGCGCGGCTGAGCAGTACGAGTTAGTCCACGACGTGACACAGTCACGCGATGGCGTACATGGTCTATCGCCAAACTTTATCGTGGCACTACTCATGTGGAAATCGTTTTCGGCTTAACGCGATTTTTCGCCGAGCGCGGCACTTTTCAGGAACGCATCTACCGCGTTAAACGAGGACTGTGCCCTGCTGCTGGCAAATCCCTGCTCCTACCCGAGGTCTCCCGTCCTATCACGGCAGTGTGGTCCTCAATCCGGGCCCACCAACCCACCGGGCCGACTCCACCTGGTTCCGCTTATCCCGCACGTCGCCACGCATCGTTTCAGACCACCAACCTGATGGCCGTCACCCGGGGCATTGGGCCCTCTCGACTGCCGGACCTATTTGGGGGTTGGGCCCCTGGCGGTGCACGCGGGGTGTACCCCCAGTGAAAGGCAAGGGCGGCCCGCAGGTGAGCAGCTCCTTGGAGGGGTGGCCCCAAAACCCCACTCCCACCCTCACCCCCACCCCCACAGGTCATTGTGTGGATCGGTTCGGATTCCAGCGAAGTGGAGAGGGAAGAATCCGTCAAGTGCGGTGAGTGGCGCACGGTGCCACCCAGCGTGGCGCCCATATTCAACGGTGAGATTTGATAACAAACCTGTGTGAGGATGAAGAAGTGGGTCCAACTATACTACCGCCACCATCGTTGCCATCTGCAAGGTGTTGGGGTTGGGGTGGTGCTGAGATATTGTAAAGAATCACGCCGCGCGGTTCGAGAGGTGCAGCGGTGCGTGGAGGGAAAGATGTGAACTACCTCGCCTGGTATACAGGTCGTGGGTTCGATCCTGAGCTGACGCCTGCTGCTGTATATTTAGAATTTTCTCCCAGTGGTCGCGCGGATTTTTCTCCAGGTCCTCAGGGTTTTCCCCTCTACATTCAGAATCAACGTGACTGTATAGTATTTATGCAGCTCAGTGGGCCTTACCTGGTCAAATGAGAAATGTTTACAGTTTAGTTTAGAAGCCGGGCGGCGGTGTCCGTCTTCGCCGTGCCGGGCGGCTCGCCTCCCGCTCGCCGTGGCCGCCGGCGTCGCGATGCCCGAGAGAGTGGAGGGAGATAAATCGGAGGCGTGGACATTGGAGGAGAAAATGGAACGAGAGCTGAGAAAGTGGGCAGAGGAGTGCGGGCAAGTGCACGCTTGCAATTACACCGAGAGACGGGGGTAGAAACGCGCGGATTGGATAGCTCGGTGGGTTTGGAGGGAGCGCCTCGCTAGAAGTTGATGCTGGCCGGTGGCCGAGACGGTGTGTAAACATCGCCACTGGGGAGACAAAGGCGGCCGAGCGTGGTGCTGGCCACCCCACCCCCTCGTGCGTCGTGTCGGCCTTCATAGGTGCCACTCGCTAACAGCACTTGCCCCAACTGTCTGCTAAGGCTATACGGGGGATATTTGTATAAGTGTGTGTGTATATTCTAGATTTGAAGCTTTCGTGACTGCAAGGATTCATATTCTTAGGTTTTTTCGGTGACTTTACCGAAAAAAACCTGAGGATATGTGTGTGTATATATCTATGTTCGTTCAAGCAAAAATATCCCCCGTATAGCCTTACCAGATGTTTGGGGAAAGTGCCATTAGCGAGCACCTATTAAAAGACGACGCCCGGCCGTCTTTGTATCCCCAGTGGTGATGTTTACACACAGCCGCACCAGGTTACGGCTGAGTCAGAATATCGATCTTATCTAGTTTTATTATGCTAGCCAAAGATTTGATTTTGACCTTCGGATAAAATCAACATTCTCTCTGTATTTTGCAATAAAATGTAATTTTAAGGAGTTGTAACGCGTGGCAAATGCAGTCCAACGTTCATCGCTTTGCACATGTCGTATGCATCGTTGCTCACGCTAAGGTACAGTTCTCATACTTATCAAAGACACGTCAAGTAGACAACAACACGAAGCATTAAACATTCAGCATTGCAGGAGCGTGCATCAGACGTAAATTGAAAGATGTGGCCTGTCGGCTTTAACGCTGCAGTAAACCCTCTACACATCCACGTTTACTGTGATACACAAAGAAATACGGAGAGTTCTTTAGTTCATCACGCCGCAAATGTTGCCGCAAACCGCAAAGTATTTATTTTACCGGTTTAAACCGATAACCGCATCGCCGACTTTATGTGAACGAAAATAAACAAATTCGCCCGTTTTCTCATTGGAAAAAGGTAAATGTCAAAACATCACTGTCCTGGTCACAACAGCAACGTTTGTGGGGAACAATAATAGCCATTTCCTGTACTTTTTAGGCATAAGCAATTACGAAATAACACTTAGTACCCAGGAACAAAAATTGTTACATATTTTTTCTTCTTGGTTCTTTCGGTAAAGTCACGTAGAAGGGAAGTAATAAAATAATAACAATTAAACATAATAAAATAATGTGTTACATATTGCTATGAAACTGTTGATCTCTGCGTGTCGCTCTGCCGCTGTGAACCTCTGTGTATCTTCGTGTGTCTGTGTGTATATGTGTGTCCGTATATCTGCGTATAATCTGTACCTCTGTGTCTCTGTCTATCTGTGTCTGTCTCTGGGTCGCGCCTGCCGCTGAAGGACTTAGAGTCTCGTGGTGCACGCGGGATTAGGGATTAAAGAGAGAGAGACGCAGATTTAATTTAGCCTCTCTCCGCGTGATGAGGCTTAGCGAGAGAGCGGCGGGAGAGGTAACGGGGAGACTGGGTGAAGTGGAGATGGGAGAAAGAGGGAGGGAGATGGAGCGAATGGAAGAGGGAGGTGAGAGAGAGAGACATTGGAGTGAGACTGGGAAGGAGGGAGGGAATTAGGAGAACTGGACACCTAGAAAGAGAGAGAAGGGAGCAAGGTGGAGGGATTGATGGAGGGAGGGGTGGGGGATCAGGGAGGGAGGTAGAGAGGAGAGGCATAGAGAGGAAGATAGAGGGAGGGGGGGGGGTGGTGGAGAGGAGAGAGGGGCACGGGGAGAGAGAGGGGAAGGGTGAGCGACAGAGAGAAGCAGGGCTGATGGGAGCGAGAAGGGAATGAGGGAAACGGCGAAGAGAGGAGACGGAGGGACCGAGTTCGAGAGAAGGGGGACGGCACGGATGCAGGGGGGAGAGGGAAGATGTGGGAGAGCGAGGCTGGGCTCAGAGAGGCAGGGGACGAGAGGAGGAGAGGTCGTCGTGGAGGGTTGGAGACGGGGGCGGGGGGTGTAGGCAGGTGGCGTCGGGGCAAGAGGTGGCGCGAGTCTAAGCTACAGAGCTCCCGCTCATCCCCAGGGCAGACTTCTCGCCCTGTGGTCACCCATCGAGTCTGTCACCAAACATCACTCGCGCAGCACAAATTGCCTCTGCCGGTACTAACCACCACCACCACCGACCATCAACCCATCATCACCACTCAGCCAACATCACTACCGGATTCTAACCACCTTCACACTCCACCATCACTACCAGCTCCTAATCACCATCACACACCATCACACGCCACCATCACCGGCACGCGAGCCGGTATCGGGAGTGGAAGTCGTGCGACCTCTCACCCGCTAGTTGGTCCGTGCCACCAGGTCCACCATGGGCAGCACGGACGGCAAGGCCGTGGTGCTCATCACCGGTTGCTCGTCTGGAATCGGACTGGAGCTGGCGGCCAGGATGGCTCAAGATCCCAATAAACGATACACGGGTAAGGATGATGACGACGATGATGACGATATCATCATCAGTAGCAGCAGCACTATCATCATCAGCAGTACCATCATCATCAGCACCATCATCATCAGCAGCAGTACCATCAACAGCAGCAGCAGTAGTACCATCATCAGCATCAGCTGCAGTACCATCAACATCAACAGCAGCAGCCTCATCATAATCAACAACAGCATCAGCAGCATCGCCACTCACCATGATCACTCGGCATCGTAGGAATGTCAACACATTCATCAATAACACTGGCCTAAAGTAAAAATGTGTTTGTGTGTATATATTAGATGACGATTCAGGCAATGGTCCTAATTCATAGGTTGAGGGATAGTGAGGCCAGGGAGCTTGAGCGATTCGTAGACTGCACTGCGATAGGAATGGATGCAGCGGCATCATAATGCAATCATCACCGCTGATGACAGCCATCATGCCATGTAACGTGAAGGTTGTGGCTGTTGTCTCTGTTGTCTTGTCGTTGTGGCTGTTTGTTGTTGTGGTTATTGGGTGATTGCTGCTGCTGCTGTGGCTGTTTTGTTGTTATTGTATTTGTTGCTGCTGATGTTGTGGTTGTTGTTCTGTAGTCGTGGCTGTTGTTGTGGTGTCTGCTGTTGTTGTTGTTGTGATGCTGCTGTGACTGTTGTGGCCGCTGTTGTGGTAGTTTTCTTGTTCATGTTTTTGTTTTTTATTTGTTGCGGTTGCACCCGATTCAAGAGCCGAATGGCTCACAGGACTATACTTAATAAATTAACTTGAAGTTGTGCCAGGACTTGGACCTAGGAGCTGCGGGTACTTCTACTGGCGAGCGATTTGCCGCCGATAAGGGGGCCACCCATTTAGTCGGTACGCACGAATCTGTCAAAAGTTGACCCCTCCCCCCCTCCCTGTATGCACGCGAACTTTTTACACCCCCCCCCCACCCCCGAATCCTATAGAACCGCCGATATTTAATACACGCAGAAACTATCAAGGATTAATAATATTCACGTGTTTAAGCAAAGAGAAAGTCCACCACCGGACTATCTAACTCATTTGAAGGCCAATGTAGACACATTATTATCGAGGCTTCACCCCACGCCCCCCATACGCAAGCGAACGCATTTGGGTTAACCCCCCTCCCCCCTCCATGCGTACCGACTGAGTGTATGGCCCCGAAGTGCATTTGACGTTACCCGCGTGCAGTGCGATCACACGCGGCGACGGCTGTTGGATCAGACTCCCCCCCACCCCTCGCTGGCGTGAGTTGGTGCCGCGTGCGGTCGTGTTAATTACTCATCACCCTCATTGACCCAGACGATGGCGTCGGTAGTGACGTCACGGTCACAACGTGATTTTGTGCTGCTCAGTTGACCGCGGAGGTGCTCATCTTCTCGCCGAGGCAGTCAGAGAAACTCCACATTCCCATAGCGGGGGCGAGTCCATCCGTGGGACAACCACTGCTGACTTCCCAATAAAGTTGTGAAAATGTTATCGAACTCGGAGTGATGATGGGCTGAGTCAACCCCCCCCAATCAGGATGTGAACTCGCAACCTTCCGATTGCTAGCCGCTCGCTCGGTCGATGGGCCACCTGGCCGGTTGATGGTGCTGATGATGATGGTGCTGATGGTGATGATGATGGTGCTGCTGATGATGATGGTGCTGCTGCTGATGATGGTGCTGATAATGATGGTTCCAATGACAGTGCTGATGATGCTGATTATGGTGCTGATGTTTATAGTGCTGATGATAGTCCTGCTGATGATGATTGAGCTGATGATGATGATGGTGCCGATGACGGTGCTGTTGATAGTGGTGATGGTGCTGCTTATTATGATAGTGATGCTGATGATGCTGATGGTGCTGCCGGCACAGTGATCGCCACGATGCGGAGTCTGGAGAAGCGGGGCGCGCTCGAGGAGGCTGCGGGAGCGGCGCTCGGCTCCTCGCTGCTCGTGCAGCAGCTGGACGTGTGCAGCGACGACTCGGTGCGGGACTGCCTGGCTGCCGTGCCGGGAGGTCGTGTGGACGTGTTGGGTGCGAGCCCCCCACCGACCCCCCCCCTCCCACCCACCACAATCATGCCGACAGCCTGGCTCTAGCACGACTATGCAGCCAGACGAATAGCAACTTAATACCTTCAGTCTGTCTCTCTGCCATGAACACCGCCGCCCCATCTGTAGCGACCCACCACCAGCCTGCACCGAACATCTTCAAGTGACACTTATCCCCGATACAAAGACAACCACCCCCCGTATAGCCTTAACAGATTGCTGGGGGCAAGTGCTGTGAGCGAGCAGCAACCTACGAAGGCCGGCAGGTTGGTGGGGAGCACCACGCCCGGCCGCCTTTGTCTCCCTCGCAGCGATGTTTACACATCGCCCCAAGGTACCCATTTGAGGCTTGGCCGACCTGGGGGAGGCCCAGGACCGGTTCAGATAGCTGCCACTGGTGTTGGCCGTGATTCGGGAGAATCGACCTCGAGTCGCCGAGCTCACAGCGCGGTGCGCCAACCTCGAGAGCGCGGCCGTGCACAGCGACACGGCTCAGCCGCGATGGCCGTGAGCACCACTCGGACGCGGATTTCACGACGCGACTCGCGCTACCGCTGCCCGCATCCTTCAGCTACTCTGAGGCATGCCACGGGAACACGAGACCACCGATACCACCGCCAGCATCACCGACGACACGACAGTGACACCGTCACGCGGACCAAACCGCCAGCCCGGGCGGCACTAAAACTCTCCCACTTAGGCGATCAATTTACACTTCACACTGCCGGCCACAACAACATTAACACCCCCCCCCGGCCCCCTACTCCCTAATACAGCCACGCTACCCCTAGCACTGCCATCATCAATTAACCCCGAAACCACCCACCACGCTCTCGGTAATCTTGCCGCCACTTTACCCCTCGCGCCCAGGATACCCTCCCAATGTACAATCAACACGGCCACCCACCGTCACCTTACCCAGCGCCTCCCATCCACCTCGCCATGTGTTCATCCCATCATCATTACAACCACTTTGCTCTCAGCACTCTGCCCCTCCCCCGTCTCTGTAACTGTGCAGTGTCGCCAGACGGCCCCTTACACCACCACCCGTCTGCTCACACCACCACCTTGACCATGATAATCACGTTCAGCTTCGTATTGCGTCGCATTTCATGAGGAACCACAAATGAGCTGGAAGGTAGCCACTCGGCAGCGAGCCGGCGCTACCAACAAGTGCCCAAGCTCTGCAGTCCTATATATATTAAGATGTTTTAAGCACTATCATTCATGTTTATGCTTTACTTGCCGTGCCTGCCTGTCCATCTGCCTAGAGGCCTGCCTGTCTGCATGCTACCCGATATGCCTTCTCTGCATGCTACCTTATCGGCATGCCACCCTATCGGTCTGCCACCCTTTCTGCCCGACTGCCTTTCTGCATGTCCGTCTTGTTTACCTGCCTACCTGCATGCATATCTCACGTCTCTCCACGTGACCGCTTCCTCCGCACATCCCTTTTGCCGTCCATCTATCCATCCATCCATGTGTTCATCCGTCCATGTGTTCATCCATCATCCATTTGTTTCATACGTCCGTTTATCCGTTTTCCCATCTGCCATTTTTCTTCCCCGTCCATCCTCTGTCCGTGCGCGCTCGCGCAGTGAACAACGCGGGCGTGGGTCTCATCGGTCCCGTGGAGGGCCAGACCATGGAGGCGATCAAGGCCGTGTTCGACACCAACTTCTTCGGCGTCGTGCGGATGATCAAGGCCGTGCTGCCCGACATGAAGCGCCGGCGCAGCGGCCACATCGTGGTCATCAGCAGCGTCATGGGCCTGCAGGGTGCGCTCCGCTACCACCGGGCCTCGCGCGCCGACACGCGCCTACCGCAGGGCCACAGAGCGAGTGTGGCGGGAGGGGCGGCTATGAGACACCCAGAAAGGTTCTGGGCAAACAGTGGACGGCGTCCGCTAGTCCACGTTTTTTCGCTCCCTTCGGCAAGGGCTGGGTTGGCTCTTTGCAGCACCACCATCACCACTACCAGCAGCAGGAATCGACTCTTTCTGGGGTTACCGGCAGGGTCATCACCCATCGCCACACGCTGCGCACGTGGCACACGGCTGTTTTGCAAAATTCGGACAACGGCGAACCGTTGTGTGCATGCGTGTACGTTGAACTTCTTTTACGCCGTACGTGGCCAACCGTGCTAATCGGAGGTGCGGGGGAATACAAATTGAGGCCTCTTTTCCCAGCAGTGGCGTGAGCGAGCAATCTTTTTCAGTAATTCTTCAACGGGCCGGTTTCAAGTGGAGCAGAGGTGCCGGCATTTATCCAAGGGTCTCTCTTATCTCACCAGGGTTACCGAATAACTGATTGACCTTTGTGTGTGTGTGTGTGTTCGAGTGTGTTCACAAAGGCGGCCGGGCGTGGATGCTGGCCACCCACCCCCTCGTGTGCCGTGCCGTCCTTCATAGGTTGCTCGCTAACAGCACTTGCCCCAACAGTCTGTTAAGGCTACACCGGGGAACTTTGTCTTTTTGTGTTCAAAGTGTACCGAGCATGACACAAGCGTCGTGATGACGTCACCACCGCAGAGCGGTTGTTGTTGTGTTCATGTGTGTGTGTTCATGTGTCTTGTGCGTTTGTGCATGTCTTCATATCCGTGTCCATGCGTGTGTTTATGTGTGTCTGTGTTAATGTGTGTATGTTCGTGTGTGTTCATGTGTTGTGTGTGTTCATGTGTATGTGTTTATGTGTGTGTGTTCATGTGTGTGTGTGTTCATGTGTGTGTCCCGCTCAGCCGTGGTGTTCAACGATGTCTACGCGGCCTCCAAGTTCGCCGTGGAGGGATTCTGCGAGGCGCTCGCCATGCAGTTGGCCAAATTCGACATCCAGTGAGTGGAGCGGCCTCGCCCAGGGCCGGAGGCGTGCCTCCTGCACAACGTAGCAGGCCTCGATATGAACTCCCGTCCACTAGCGGATGAAATCTTCATGTATAGAGAGGAACGCAGAACTTGGGGGAAGGGGAATTTGGCACCTGATTCTTGCGCTAACCACTACAATACCGCTACCCACACCATTAACATCACCACAAAAGTAAAAAAATCCCCTGTATAGCCTTAACATACTGTTGGGGCAAGTCCTGTTAGCGAGCACCTATGAAGGCCGGCACGGCACAAGAGGGGGTGGGTAGTCAGCACCACGCCCGGGTGGCGATGTTTAAACACCACACTAGGTTCTCATTTGAAGCTGAGTCGACCTAGCGGAGGCGCAGGACCGGTTCAAACAATCGTCACTGGTGTTGGTGGTAGTGAGGGGGAATCGAACCCGGGTCGCCGGTTCGTAGCGCAGCGCGCTAACCGTTACACCACCGCTCCCACACACTCTCACCAGACTCACACCGCTCCCCACACACTCTCACCAGACACACACCACTCACCCTCACCAGACACACACCACTCACCCTCACCAGACACACACTCACCAGACTCACACAGACACACACCGCTCCCCACACACACACTCTCACTAGACTCACATACACACACACACCACTCCCCACACACACACACTCACCAGACTCACACACACACAGACACTCTCACCAGACACACACACACACCGCTCCCCACACACACACACACCGCTCCCCACACACACACACCGCTCCCCACACACACACTCTCTCACCAGACACACACACACCGCTCCACACACCACCACCACCACACCATCAACACCACCATCACCACGACCACACCACACCACCACAACCACCACCATGACCACCACCGCTGACGAGTCCCACGGTGGTGGTGTCGTCGTCAGCGTGACACTGGTGGAGCCGGGCCCCGTGCACACCAAGTTCGAGACGAAGCTCATGGCCGACGCGGCCCGCGAGGAGTTTGCGGGCGTGGACGCCGAGACGCTGCGGCTCTTCCGCGACGTCTACCTCCCGGCGTCGCGCGATATCTTCCGGACGCTCGGCCAGACGCCCAGCGACGTCGTGAAGGTCACCACCACCTGGCCGCCGCTTTACGTGCCGCAGAGTTTTAGCCCGGGGCGGCGCAATGAATGAGTAACGAAGCACACGTTTCACTATGCGATCGAGGCGTCGGATCATTAACGAACGATTTGCCGAATAAAGTCGCTCGCACCTCGTGCCGCTGCTCCTCGGCGGCCGGAGGATGATGTTGGCTCACCGCGTGGCTCACCGCGTGGCTCCACAGACCACGACAAGGCGGGGGGGTCGCGTTTGCAGAGGCGGCGTCCACCGCCTCGCGGTCGTTCTCTGAGCCCGAAACCAATCCTCACCCCCCCTCCCCCCCTCTCAGGCCGCGGCGACGGCGCGTTAAAAGGATTGTTCTATGGTGCTGGCTCTCCGCGGCACGGCAGTGGAACAAATAAGCCAGCCCGGAACCGCGATGGCCCGGCTCGGATGTGCCAGTGTAAAAGGACTAAAACATTCTTCCTCACCCCCCCCCGTCCCACCGCGCAGGCCGTGATGAGGGTGATCGGCAAGGAGCGCCCCCCGTTCCGCTACCAGACGAATCCGCTGTACACGCCGCTCACGGCGCTGCGGCAGGCCGACGACACGGGGCAGCTCTCGGTGCAGACGTTCTACCAGCTGCTCTTCCGCCACGGCGCCGTCTTCCGCGCGTCGCTCGCCGCGCTGCGCTGCCTCACCTGCAGCTGCTGCCGCGCCACTCACTCGGACGCGTGACAGCTCACCTGGCGGGGGGGGGGAGCAAGGGGGGTGGTAGAGTGGAGTGACCGGCGCGGTGAAGTATAGTTAAATAAAGCCCCCCCCCCCACGACCCCCCACAGAAGTAGGGAGGCTCACTTAAGATTTTGTAACTCTGTGTGTACGTATGTATGTTGAACTTCTTTTGCACCGTACGTAGCCGACCACGCTGTCGGCGAGCGGTTTACCCAATACCACGCGCAGTCTTTGCGGTCCCGCCGATGTGTCCGACTTGAGGAGTTCACGATCGACTCTGAGCGCAGGCGAGGTCGTCGCTTGCGCGTGCCCGATGAGTGGTGCGCGTGCACGTGTGACCCACGTGACGTAGAGGGTGAGCGGTGGCGCAGCGGTCGTGAACCCGTGAACACGATTTTAATTCCCGCTCACGGCCAACACAAAATCTAACCCCAAAAAAAATATTCTAACCCAAAAACCTTTATGATTATACCGACTATAATCACCCAGGAATGTCCTTAACGCTGGTGACGTCACTCCACGTCGACCAGTCCCCCTCATTAATAATCATGAGCAGGTGACGTCCTCCAAATGGACACCCCCCCCCAATGCATAATAATTAGCGGCTGACGTCACCACATGGGGGGGGCGAGGCACCTCCTCCCCCCTCCTCGGCGTCAACTGACAACCCTCACTACAAAGGCAGAACCCTCACGTCACGCGATCTCCATCACGCTGTTGTTGAAACATCAAAGTAAAAAGGACGTCATGATGAACAAGGGATTATAACCTTAAAATGAAATAAGTCTGTGTCACCGCGCCCTTACTAATTGCACACGAATTGATGCAATGAATATCTCACGTCGCGGTCTGCTTTGCGCTTGCAAGTTTCAGACTTACCGCAATACACCCGTCCTCGGGCTAAAGGCTCGTGGATAATGTTGGTCGCGAAAGCCAACACGTTGAACTGCCCAACACCATCGTGAGAGGTGGCGGCAGACTGCGAAGGACTTCATCCAGCAGTGGATTGACCATGACTGACGATGCCAGCCATCCACGCGCTCAGGCAGCCAAAGGCAATACAGTACTGTGTATACTTGTATTGCTTACTGTCCTTGACTGAAGCAGGTGAGAAACGTGTCAGATAAATGTAATCCTGTTGTACAATTACTTACCGGGAAATCAAATGAAAGTGCTTTTTGACGCGTGCGTCTGTCCGGTTCACTAAAGTCCCCAAGTGCGTGCGTGTGATGAGACCCAAGTGTTGATGGCAAATAAAAGTTTAAATAAAACCGAACCACATTTCTGGGAGTCGTGGGACCTTTTTGCTGGTATCAAAGTATACAAAATAAGAATAGGTTTTACCCTTTATGGCAACATTTTAACACCTGTTTTTCATTGGCAGAAAGGGTAAAACCTATCACTATTCAGCATTTTCTTGCTGTGGTTGTTCCACCTGATGAAGATTGCTCGTTTTGCGATCGAAACGTCGTGATTTGTTTTATTTTATTTCTACCTACGTGACTTTACCGAAAGAACCAAAGAGTATGGATTCCTGCAGTCACGAAAGCTTCAAATCAAGACCTATCCTTATTTTTCATACTTTGATACTGGGGGGAAAGGTCCCGTAATATAGCTGCTGCACCCAAAGCTATATATGCTCTGATACGTGGATTGCCTTTTGGCGCTCTCTGGTCTGACACTCAGAGAAGGCCGTCTCAGTTTCACAAACAATGCACAGCATGTTTGTTTGCATGTTCACCACAAGTCATGTGTGGTTAATGCAGACTTGATTCCTGGCAAAAGGTTTCTATTTTGTGTTTGAACATCTTAACACAGCTCCTGTTTTATTGCCGTAAAGCGTAAAATACCTTTAATTATTTCTCATCTTTCTCGGAAACTCAAACTTCCGCCATCCCCCGCCCACTCAGCCCACTAGCCCCCACCCACTCAGCCCACTAGCCCCCACCCACTCAGCCCACTAGCCCCCACCCACTCAGCCCACTAGCCCCCACCCACTCAGCCCACTAGCCCCCGCCCACTCAGCCCACTAGCCCCCGCCCACTCAGCTCACTAGCCCCCGCCCACTCAGCCCACTAGTTCCCGCCCACTCAGCCCACTAGCCCCCGCCCACTCAGCCCACGAGCCCCCGCCCACTCAGCCCACAAGCCCCCGCCCACTCAGCCCACTAGCCCCCGCCCACTCAGCCCACTAGCCCCGCCCACTCAGCCCACTAGCCCCCGCCCACTCAGCCCAACTAGCCCCCGCCCACTCAGCCCACTAGCCCCCGCCCACTCAGCCCACTAGCCCCCGCCCACTCAGCCCACTAGCCCCCACCCACTCAGCCCACTAGCCCCCACCCACTCAGCCCACTAGCCCCCACCCACTCAGCCCACTAGCCCCCACCCACTCAGCCCACTAGCCCCCACCCACTCAGCCCACTAGCCCCCACCCACTCAGCCCACTAGCCCCCACCCACTCAGCCCACTAGCCCCCACCCACTCAGCCCACTAGCCCCCACCCACTCAGCCCACTAGCCCCCACCCACTCAGCCCACTAGCCCCCGCCCACTCAGCCCACTAGCCCCCGCCCACTCAGCCCACTAGCCCCCGCCCACTCAGCCCACTAGCCCCCGCCCACTCAGCTCACTAGCCCCGCCCACTCAGCCCACTAGCCCCCACCCACTCAGCTCACTAGCCCCACCCACTCAGCCCACTAGCCCCCACCCACTCAGCTCACTAGCCCCACCCACTCAGCCCACTAGCCCCCACCCACTCAGCTCACTAGCCCCACCCACTCAGCTCACTAGCCCCGCCCACTCAGCCCACTAGCCCCACCCTCTCAGCCCACTAGCCCCGCCCACTCAGCTCACTAGCCCCGCCCACTCAGCTCACTAGCCCTGCCCACTCAGCTCACTAGCCCCCGCCCACTCAGCTCACTAGCCCCGCCCACCCGGCTCATTAGCCCCGCCCACACGGCGAGTGGCCCCGCCCACACGGCGAGTGGCCCCGCCCACTCAGCTCACTAGCCCCGCCCACTCGGCTCATTAGCCCCGCCCACACGGCGAGTGGCCACGCCCATACTGCGAGTGGCCCCGCCCACCACACCTGGCCACGTGGTGACTGTCGTAACTGAGGCCGTGGGACCACATTTCATTGATGCCACTCGAATATCCGCGTTAGTGCGGTTGACGGATAATATATATTTCTGTGGGCTGTTCCCAGACGGCGGGCTTCATGAGGCCACGGGCTCCGTGTGAAGTGGAGTTGTGATGATGATCGTGGTGGTGTGGTTTCTATATTATTGCCGGTGAGGATGACGATGATGACAACAGTCAAGCACGTATGTACTTTACAATTGTGGTTTATATTTCATGATGTTGATGGAATTTCGCAGTGATAGTGGTGGTCCTAATCAATGAGAATTATGAAAACAGAAATTAGCAATAGGATTAACTAAAATGATAAGTTTTAACTATGGATGATGGCGATAACGATGATGACGGAAGTCAACATTGAGGATAATTATTGAAAGTCATACACGATGATGATGATGGCGACTGAAGTCTACGGTGATGATGAAGGTTTCCAACACAAGCGGACACACAGCCGCTCATCGCGAGGAATTAAGGCCAAGCCGCACATATTTAATTTCATCTCGATTACAGCCAAGATAAGGAACCCTAATCCTGACAGCGTACTGACTAGGAACCTCTGAGACAGAGGAGTGGAGAGACGAGGGCTTAAAGGGATTGCCTTCTGTCGTTAATTCGTCACTTGCCGATAACAGGAGCGAGCGAGCATGCAGGTGAATGGGTGAGCGAGTGGGTGAGCGTGTAGGCCTGTAGGGCAATGGATGAGTGGGTGGGTGAGGCACTGGGTGAGTTGGTGAGTGTGTGCGTGGGGCAGTGGATGGGTGACGGAATGAGTGGGTGAGGAATAGGCGAGTGGTGGGAGAATAATAGACTGGTTCTTGTGAGGTCAACTGGTAAGAGGGTGGGTGAGTGAGGGGGTGAGTGAGTTGCGAGACAAGCAGTGAATGGGTGAGTTCGTGAGATCGTGGGTGAGTGAGAGGCTGCGTTGGTAAGAAAGTCGCTGGGTGGGTGAGTGAGAAGGTTGATGGGCGCGATGGGCTGGCTGCTCGTCGGCGACTGGGCTCGCTCTGGCCGTGAAGTTGGCCAACGACGAATGGAAGAGGTCCACAGGAGAGAGAGAGAGGGGGGCAGAGAACCCCGCCTGGCAGTGGCGCAGCGGTGAGGCTCGCGCCCCCGCAGCCAGGGGCCGCCTGGGTTCGATCCCCGTATCCGGCGGCTTTTCTGTGTTGCGTTTGTTTGTTCTCCCTACTGTCCAGCAGGGCGTGTGTTGTTATTGGTGCGCTGCGCTACGAACCTGGCGACCCGGGTTCGATTCCCGCTCACGGCTAACACCAGTGACGATTATCTGAACCGGTCCTGGGCGTCCCCTAGGTCGACGCAGCCTCAATCGAGTACCTGGTGTGGTGTGTTAACATCACCACTGGGGAGACAAAGGCGGCCGGACGTGGTCCTGGCCACCCAGCCCCTCGTGTGACGTTCCGGCCTCCATAGGTGCTACTCGTTAACAGCACCTGTCCCAACAGTCTGTTGAGGCTGTACGGAGATGTTTGTATGCGAGAGTGCGTGGAATTTGTATGTTCTACCGCAGCTCTGCAGAGTTTGTGCAGTTTGTATATTTCCCACTGATCTCCATGGGGTTTACTCCAGATTCTCCGGCTTCCTCCCATAAGTAAAACAAAAGCCGTGCAATTTCAATGCAACTGGTCATGGTGAGACCAAAACATCTCAATGCTGAAATATCACCCGCACGTGTCTCCATTGACATCACTGCTACTGCTGCTGTGAGGACTGCATGAGCTGTTGCTGCTGCTGTGAGCACTGCAGTCACAGCAGCTACTGCTGCCGAGGTACGTATGTACGTACGTATACGTGAGAACTTCTTTCGCACCGTACGTAGGCAACCGTGCTAATCGGAGGTGCGACAGTCGTCGCAATTGTATGTTACCAGCAAACCTCGCGTCCTTTGGACGTGACCGTCAAACCGTCGGTCCGTTCGACCGTCCATCCGACCATTGCGCCAGCCAGCAAAACTTGTTTTTAAAGTAATCTATTCATGGCATCGGTGATGCAGGCAGTGACAGCTGATGGGCTTACACTTTTGTGTGTGTGTGTGGGCGGTGCCGGCGCGGCACATGACAACGTAGAATTTGTTTGAGAAGTTAAACGGATTACGCTCTTGAAGAGACGCGATAATCTTACCGCACGAGCCAGGCCAGAGTAAACGGCAGGCCGTGTGTAGATGTCATGCGAAAGGTGAGATGGTGGGGCAACCTGGGGTGCGTGATGCCCTTTCATCACGCACCCCAGGGTACGTACGGTGCGCGTGTGTCCGCGCATCAAATTCCAAGATGTTCCGACATTCACTCGCAAATGACCCAATCGCGTGAAGCCACGCGGGCATCATCGCCCCCTGCCGGCAGACATCGCGCCCCACTCGCTGGCCGGCACCACACGGCGCCCGCACAGGGACAGCTGCCGCTAGGGGGTCGTGGGGTCCCCTCCCCCCGCCGCTACCGCAGGGGGCCTCGAGCCGTACTGCGTGGGAGACGCGGCAAATCAATATTAAGTCATTGGCTCTCACGCTGGGGTGCACACACCCTCTGGGGGCACTGCTGGATGGAGCTGGTGCGGGGCCTGCAGCATCTGATGTTATAAAGGGGCCCTAAATTTAAAACACGTAAATATTAAAAACACAATCTTTTTTACTTGCATAGTAATGTAATTGTATTTTTTCATTTCCTATACAGCCAGATAATACAACAAATCGCTAACCTTAAACACCCAGTCGTTCATAAAAGTTTAAGGCAGTATAGCACTATAGTAATAGAGCAAGTGCAGAATCACTGACTGTCCTCTCGACAGACCTATTCTCCACCTGAGGACGGCTGCTTGCGTTGTGGCCGAAACGTCGTGAGAATTATTTTATTATGTTTTATTTTTATTATTTTATTATTTCCATTCTACGTGACTTTACCGAAAGAACCAAGAAGATGAATCCCTGCAGTCACGAAAGCTTTAAATCGAAACGGAATTGATAACTTGAAAGCATTTAGCGCGGAGCCCGTGAAAGTGCGGGGCCCGTAGCTACTACACAAGTCGCTACTAGGACAATCCGCCACTGCCTGGGGGTGCGAGACGTGGGCAGATACTTTTTTTTGGACGGTAAATCATCGAAACACAAATTAAGCACGGGCTACACGTGAGTACAACTTGCTTTGTTTCACCAAGCCCTCTGTATGTACTCACAAGGTACATTGATTCTTAACGATGGAGACCCAAAGGGGCGCAAGGCTGCGGTCAAGGTTAAGAACCACTTTGTGAAGCGACGACGTTGGGTAATGATCATGATCGACGACGACGACGACAATAGTAATGATGTGGAGACTTCATCCAGCAGTGGCTAGAACCTGGCACACGACGATGCCTCCTTCGCGCGAGGGTGGTGAGCGCCGAGAAGCCAGAAGAACCCTCCTCTACACCCCCCCCCCTCCTCTACAACCCCCTCCCCCCTACAACACCCCCTTCGCGGCCCTCAAGCACGCCGACCCCCAAGGTGGCGAGCCGGCCATCGAGACCTTCACCGAGATGATCTCCCAGCTTGGCCGCCTCTCCCAGGCCAGCGTGCACGGTCTGCGAGCTGGACAGGGCTAGGGGCCCTCTCGCTCTCCCCTCGTCGGCTGTGGTCCACTGCTGCCACGCATCCATCCATCCCCAGGTGGTCCTCCACAGATTGTGGCAATCGAGACCTCTGGGTACCCAGTGCCACCGCCCTCCCAGAGAGAGCCTAAAAAACGCACGATCGGGTGGAGTCAAAATGCGACAGAAGTTCGCCATACATGCATTGACAGCGATGTCCTCCTGCTTAAATGAGCATTAAGGCATTTGGTGCTCATCGCCTCTATATCTGTATACAGCCCTTGATCTAATGGTAGAAATTCCACATTTATATGGCGGGGCAAGTCTAACCATATGACAGCCACTATGATGAAATGCATTGTTAATCACGTGACAACGTCATCAATTGTCTGTGTCGGGTGGAGGAGGGCTTACGACACAACATTTGACTTGGGCAGCGATCTCGTCCAAGACGCGATTATGAACCGAACAAAATGCGCACACGGTCTCTGACGTTGGGCAAGCCATCGCTATGCTGCAAGATGGACCTCTAAATCACTCACTCGGGCTCACACCAACAGCCGCAGTAGCAGTGGCGGCAGATCGCCCCCTACAGCGAGAACGTTGCAGGGCCCTCCCGACGAAAGAGGTGACACTCAGAGAAGCGTTCTTTGGCGAAATCAACAGTTATAATAATAATTGTAAAAAAAAAATTCGTGCAGCGAAACCTCAGAAATCGACCGATGGCAAGGTCTGTAGAAAAATAAAATCTGGCCAGATTGCCAAGCAAATGTTTGTTTTGATAAAACACACAAACCTAATGCCGCGGTTTGTGTGATCGCTTTAAAAAAAATCACCCGAGGCTCGCTTAATCCGTCTCGTGATGGAAATGAAGCCCCATTCAAATCGTGGTTTTGACGTCGATGTTGATCTCTCACGCAGACAAACACGTGAGTGCGTGGAGACGAAGACCTCCCCGTATAGCCTCTAACAGAAGGTTGGGGAAAGTTCTGTTCGCAGACACGGCACACGAGGGTGGGTGGCCAGCACCACGCACGGCTGCCTTTTTCTCCCCAGTGGCGATGTTTACGCACCGCACCAGGTACTCATTTGAGGCAGAGTCGACCTAGGGGAGGCCCAGGACAGGTTCCAATAAAAATCGGCACTGGTGGTCCGTGAGCGGGAATCGAACTCGGGTATCTTACCTTTGCCGGCTCCGTGTCTCCCTGACATTATCAACCGGCATTCGGCTATCCCCGGCCACCTTCATTTTTTAATAGAACTGCTTTTGTGCGTTAAGTTTTCTTGTCCTTCCCCGCACCTCTGATAAGCAAGATTGAATGCGTACGGTGCGAAAAAAAGGTTAAACATACATCATCAGGTATGTAAAATAATAATAGTAGGCGTTTCACCCTTTCTCGCAATGCAACAGGAGGTGTTCAGGTGCTCCAACACCAAATCGATACTTTAGCACGGAATCAAGCCTAGCATTCGCCACGCATGGTGCTTGTGATGAAAATGTTAAATACGCATGCTCTGATAATATATGAATCGTCTTTGAAAACGATTGGCCTACACCAGAAATGTCTTCATGGCCTCGTCTCACTTGCAGTGTCCGCCCAAAAAAACAACACCAAACGGCAAAGAGTACAAGGGCAATGACACGTGCATGAGAGCATCTATAGGTCGGGGTGAGCAGCTCTAGCATGGGATACCTTTTTTCGAACGTCATTTGTCGAACATCTTAACACCTCCCGTGTTATTCCTAGCAAGGGTAAACATTCGGATCTTTCATTCTTTGATACTGGCAACAACAACCAAGATCACCCGTGATGTGTGACACGACATCACGTTGCCACACGGGCAGGAGACATCGGCCGTCGGTGGCGCAGTGCGACTGGCGGCCGATAGGCGGCGCCCAGGGCACGGGAGTCGTGGCACCGGTCCAGAGATCACTCGGCAGCCGCCATGTCCGGCGGTGACCCCAAGTCAATGGAACTGCGCACTGCTCAAAACCACTTCGCCACCGCGCCCCCAGACGCTCGAGGAACAGATTGTTGAGGCAGGTGCTGTTAGCGAGCGCCTATGAAAGCCGGCAGGGCAAACGAAGGGGTGGGTGGCCAGCACCACGCCCGGCCGCCTTTGTCTCCCCAGTGTCGATGTTTCCACACCGAACCAGGTACTCATTTGAGGCCGAGTCGACCTCGGGGAAGCCCCGACCGGTTCAGATAATTGCCACTGGTGTTGGCCGTGAGCGGGAATTGAACTCGGGACGCCGGGTTCGTAGCGCAGCAAGCCAACCACTACACTACCGCTCAAAACAAACACACGTACTCCATCCACAGTTGGCGAATGTTTCGGGCGATGGCCCTTCTTTACAGCAACAGGGCACAGACAAGGTGAAGAGGGAGACGGGACATGCAGAGAAACAGACACAGAGGTATAGCAGAGAGACAGACAGACTGACAGGCAAAGCAACAGGCAGGCAGAGAGGTGTAGATGCCACCGATTGTCGGCAGCTCCACGTGCCCTTCATCTCTCCACACAGCCGCCAGTCCGACCATCCATCCATCCATTTCCTACTTCATTTATGAATCCGTCTGTTGGTTCGTTCATACACCTATGCATCCGTCTGTCTAGGGATTTACACACACATCCAGCCATCCACCCACCCACCAAGCCCTCCACACATTCAGCCATCCACCCACCCACCCATTTGCACAAATGTAGTGTACTAATTCAGAGACACTCATAGAAGGCATTATCCCTCTTGTTTATTCCGGATCTCACAGCCATAAGGGATAACTCCATACCGGGTCGGGACAGCCAACATGCTTCCAGACCCACAGCTTGAAGAGGCGCCGACCACGACGCCAGAAGCATGACAAGTTCCACTCCCGATGACAGCAGCCCCGGCTGTGAGTCGGAGCTCGTCTTTTATCCTCCCCAGCGTGGCCAGGCTTCGCCCTCGGACACGCCCCCTTCTGGATCCCCCAGAAGGCTCCGGGCTTGGCCCACGGGTCCAACTGGTAGAACGGGCTGCTACCCCCAATTCCATTGTCTACCAGTCCCCAGCGCTACGCACCCCAGTGACTCATTCAATGTCACTGCAAATACATTCATTTTAGCGGCCCACCCAATTAACTACCCATCCACTTATTCACTCACCCATCCACCCACTGTGACAATCCACCCACTCACCCATGTACGCATCCACTCATCCACGAACCAACCCAGCAACCCTGACATGCTGTCTACCCATTCTTCACTTCCTCCCTACATTGGTCCTGCACAGTACCACTGCACCGTGGATAGAGGATCGACATATCGACTCACCCATCCATCCACCTATTCACATATTCTAACACAATTTCATTCACCCATCTATACACACATCCACCCATCCATCATCCCACCAAATCAACCACATATGCATCCACCCGCCAATCCGTCCACCCATACGCTCATAATCAACGCATCCGTCCACTCATCCACCTACACACCCATTCACAAATATATGCATCCATCCATCCAGCCATCCACTCACCCTCTTATAGTCTACTCATTCCATCAATGATCCATCTACCAATTAATCCACTAATTCATCCATTCACCCATCCACCCACACTCTCACCAATCTATGCATCCATCCAGCCATCCACTCGCCCGCCCGTCCACTCGTCCTGCCATACCTTCCAAAAACCCACCCACCCACCTACCCTGTCATCTACCCACGCACCCCAAACCCCACCCCACCCATCCCTCCCACCCCTCCCTCGACCGACCCTTGGCTCCGTTCCGCACACGCGCACTGCTCTCTCATCCCCCCCTGGGCTATCAACATCTGGGGGCGGCGCGCGAGCAGTCAGTCGCGTTGCACGAGGCGCGAGCGAGACTCGGGGCTTCCTGCGAGCGCCGCCACTCAGGTGAGTCCGAGGAATCGGATCAAGCCTCCAACCACACAGAGAGCGAGTGCTCATTACGCAACGGTCTATTGTCTCGTTGTCAGCATTTGAATCCGCACTGAGACCGGAGGAATCAGATGAGCTGTGAAGCTCTTTCTTTCGCAAGATATTCCGTAGGGGCGGGTCAGCGATTTGCTCGTCCACGCTGGCACAGACGTCTTGGATAATAGGCGGCGGCAGCAGCGGCACTTTACCTCCACCGCAACACGACCTGCTGATCCGCTCACCGCGGTCTACCCATTCGTACCGTCAGCTGTGGGCTGGACAGAGGCGGCGGCGGAGGAGGATTAAGAAGCTGTCCCGAATTAATCCACCGTCGCGCAGGGAAGTCGAATCGGCAACTTGTAAATTGCAAAGGCATCCTGATATCCATCACACCGGGGCAGCGTCCCGTGCACATGCAGCTCGTGTTGCATTGTCGCTGCATGCAAAACTGTGGGTCTCCGTGCGAGTCTCTGTTCGTTCATGATGCGAGTCTATGCGAGTCTGTGGTGCTCGCCGTGACCCAATGGGTGTTCATGTGAGACGATGGGCCTCTATGTGAGTATATGGGTCTCTTTGTGAGTCTATGGGTCTTTGTGTGAGTGCTGGTCTCTTTGCGAGTGTGTATGAGTCTATGGGTCTCTGTGTGAGTATAGTGGTCTCTTTGGGAGTGTGTGAGTCTATGGGTCCCTGTGTGAGTGTGCTGGTCTCTATGGGAGTGTGTGTGAGTCTATGGGTCTCTGTGTGAGTGTTGGTCTCTTTGGGAGTGTGTGAGTCTATGGGTCTCTTTGTGAGTCTATGGGTCTCTTTGGGAGTGTGTACGAGTCTATGGATATCCGTCTCAGTTTGTGTGATTCGCGTAGCTGGAGAAATCTGGGGACATCAGCGCAGAGTGATGTCTCTGGGTTCAGCAGTGAGGACATTGCGGAATGATTGTGCAGTCTCGGAAATATGATTGGACAATCTATGGTCGACATTAAACTCATTAGTTCATTAGTTCAGCACCAACTACAGACCTCCACATTGGTGTCGAGCTCCTGAACGACATCGCTGCTGCTGCCATTGTGCGTAAGAACATCGTGGCATTTATTAATCGAGTAACGCCTCGATGATAGCCAGGAGGGTCCTGCTACATTTGGGATGTTTCGAAACGAGGGCGGCAATTTGGCGTCTCCGTGTGGGAGGAGGGCAGAGAGCCGGAGACAACCCGGGGGTTGTCGAGGGGATTGGAACACTCGAAAGCACTGAAAGCTCCGCTGCAGACACAAGTTGGAGACAAGTTGGAGACACGGGAGAGACACGGGAGAGACACGGGAGAGACACTAGAGAGACACGGGAGAGACACGGGAGAGACACGGGAGAGACACGGGAGAGACATGGGAGAGACACGGGAGAGACACGCGCTATTTGGTGACGCTGCTGCTGCTGGCAGTGGTGCACAAGCACAGCCAATACGAACCACTCGGCACATTCGTCAACAACAACAACACGCGTGCCATAAACCAAAGACAAACATACTTATTATGATGACGACGTTTCGGGTAGTGGCCTCCTCCTTTATGGGGCGCGGTGGTGTAGTGGTTAGCGCGCTGCGCTACAAACCTGGGGACCCGAGTTCGATTTCCGTTCACGGCCAACAACAGTGACGATTATTTGAACCGGTCCTGGGCCTCCCCTAGGTCGACTCAGCCTTAAACTAGTACCTGGTGCGATGTGTAAACATCGCCACTGGAGAGACAAAGGCGGTCGGGCGTGGTGCTGGCCACCCACCCCCTCGCGTACCGTTCCGGCCTTCATAGGTGCTCGCTAACAGCACTTGCCCCTACAGTCTGTCAAACTTTCCGGGGGACCTTTGTCTGTGTATGCTGAACTTCTTTATCGCTCCGCGCTCATCGAAAGGCGCTGGGCAGGGGTGGGTCGGCGGACGGTTCCAGCCGAGTCCCTCGTGTCAATATCCACTGCTGGATGAGGGCATCTGCACGTCGCCGTGGTGCTGCCGGTGGTGGTGAGGGTAGATAGGTAGGGGGGGTGGTATTTGTATCCATGCTTCACCACGCTGGTCAGTGCGGGTTGCGTTCCGGATGATGTGCGCACGGACTATCGGTGTGCAGTGCAGGCCACTGCCGCTCATCCTTCGTAGAATATTAACTGTAACGTTGCTCAATGCCCTGTACAGTACTTTGAACCCGCTGCAGTCTGCGCTCCTTCAACGCCGGTGGGGGAACGGCGACACGACGCGAACTCTCCGCCTCTGCCTCCGTCTTGGCCACCAGCAGCAGGACCTCGACACTGGCATCGAGCCCCTGAACCACAGCGCCGCCGCCGCCGCCGCTGCCGCTGCCTCCACTCGCGAGAAGCGCATTGAAGATCTGACAAAATATCCCAACGTAACAGGACTTCCTTTATCACCGTATTCTCTCGATTCTAACACGCACTCGTTTTCCCTGTGTTCAGGGGGGACAGGTGCGTCTTACAATCCGTGCGCGTCTTACAATGCGGGCGTGCGTGCGCGCGCGTGTGGCCACGCTACTGACAGGGGCCACGAGTCGAGGCTGAGTGTAACTTTCCGGAGCGACTTGTGCTACAGGGAACACGATTTGTACAAATGCCCGGGCGCTTGTAATAATAATAATATCCGGATTATATGGCACGGGTTTAGGATTGATAGATAATGGGGGTGGGTAGGTTTGTGTTCACGGTACGAGTGTGCCCGTGTGTTAATGTAAATCTACGGGGAGTGGTGGCGTAGCGGTTAGCGCTGCGCTACGAACCCGGCGGCCCGAGTTCGATTCCGACTCACGGTCACCAACACCGGTGACGATTATCTGAACCGGTCCTGGGCCTCCCCTAGGTCGACTCCGCCTCAAAATGAGTACTGCACCTGGTATGGTGTGTAAACATCGCCACGAGGGAGACAAAGGCGGCCGGGCTGGTGCTAACCACACCGCCCCCTCGTGTGCTTTCATGGCCTTCATAAGACGCTCGCTGACAACACTTGCCCCAACAGTCTGCGAATCCAATACGGGGAATCTTTGTCTTTGTGCGTCGGCGAACCAACAATGGTCACTGACACACAGCGCGTAAACCTGTCGATAGTGGCTGCCGGTATCACGTGATCCCAATGCAAAGGTGCGTCCCTGCAAGCGCTCGCTCTCCACTGCTGGCGGAGGGGGCCTCCACTGGAGGGAGCTGTAAGAGAGCCCGTCTAGAGGAGGGGTACGCGTTGGCCTACTCTTCCACGCTGGTCAAACCGTCTGGGAAGAGTTGGGAATACCCACACTTTACCCCACCACACGCGGCCTGCCGATCGATCATCTGATGTGGTAGAGTAATGGGTGGATAGAATCGACGCGCAGTGCGTCCAACCATTGCAACCACAACAGCATGCAACACGTGTTAATCAACATGTCCGCTCCCCACGTAAACTATTTTAATTTCACCACGTAAGTCCCACTCGGCTATGTAACTCTTTTCTCAGAAGCCACCTGACCACAATGTGTAGCTTCACGGAAGGGCTCATCACGTGGAGATGTATTGCAGCTAATCACTCTTAACGCATGGCATCGATTCTAAATGTGGAATCAACGTTAAAAAAAATCCACGCGACCACGTGGAGAGAGAGACACGCAAACTCCAAATATACAGCAGGCGTCAGGGTCGGGATCGAACCCACGACCTCCTGTAGGCCACGCGATGTATTTAACATCTCGCTACCGTGCGCCCCACATATATATAGATCGTTAACAGATATATCGCGTTATCGTGAGGAGTCTTTAAGAATCGATGGCGATCGATGACAACAGGCCCCCCCCCCTGCCACGCAGGATGGATGAGGAAGAATTTCGCCGATGTGGCAAGGAGATGGTGGACTACATCGCGGACTACCTGTCCACCATACGGACCCGCCCAGTCTACCCGGACGTGCTGCCGGGCTACCTGAGGCCCATGATACCGGCGAAACCCCCTCGGACCCCCGAGACCTTCCGAGACGTGATGGAGGACGTGGAGAGAGTCATCATGCCCGGCGTGAGTAATCCCGGCAGGCTCAACCGCGTCGCATGGTCAAGCTTGCAGGAGGAATCCGATGAGCTATGAAGCTCTTTATCACAGATGTTCAGTAGCAAATGCAACAAATCAATGTTTGATCTCACCAGGTAAAGCCCACTGAGCTATTAGCTGCTTTTCAGACGCAACCTGGCCACAAATCATAGCTCAACGAAGTGGCCCGTCCACGAACTGATCCACCGCCCCTCCACCCCGCACGAGGAGTCGCCTGGTCCGCTACAGATGCCGAGTCAGCCACAGATGATAACCACATAGAGCTGAGATGACAGCCACAGATGACTGAATAACCCACAAGTCTGAGTCAGCTACAGATGACGAGTAGTCCACAATGTTGAGTCAGCCCAGTTCAGCCGAAGGTCTTTGTTCGAGCCCTGGGTTTGGATGTTGATGTCAGGGAGTTCGCTGTTGCTGCGTTACAGACGCGGAAGCGACGCAGATGAATTTCTCTGTGTGAGATGATGATGATGGTCGTTTTTTTAAATGATGATGGTGACAATGATGACAACGTCGGTACTGATGTTTGTGGCGGTAGCGATGATGGTGGTGGTGGTGTTGATGGTGTTACAAACATAGATGATGATGCTTGTGATGATGATTGCAGTAGTCAATGCTGATGATGACTATTCAATGATGAAAACATTCAAAACTGATGATGAGTAATCGACGAAGATGCTGATGTTGATGATGACGAAGATGATGATGATGATGACGATGATGACGATGATGACGATGATGATGATGATGCTGATTATGACGATGATGATGACGAAGATGCTGATGATGATACTGATGATGATGACGATGATGACGACGATGATGTGCCCATGTGCAGGTCACCCACTGGAGTAGCCCTCACTTCCACGCCTATTTCCCGGGAGCCAACTCGTACCCCGCTCTCCTCGGCGACATGCTCTCCGGCGCCATCGGCTGCATCGGATTCTCCTGGGTACGTCGACGAGCTCCCACCCATACAAAGACAAAGGTCCCCCGTATAGTCCTTGCAGCCTGTGGGGGCAAGTGCTGTTAGCGAGCAACCACGAAGGCCGGCACGGCACACGAGGAGGTCGGTGATCAGCAGCACCACGCTCGGCCGCCTTTGTCTCCCCAGTGCTGATGATCACTACACCAGATCAGATACTCATTTGAGGCTGAGTCGACCTAGGGGGAATCCAACTGGGGTCGCCGGGTTCTTGGCGCAGCGGGCTAACCGCACTCTGTAGACGAGTCCACGACCACAGACGAGGCCGCCAACCCACTTGCTCTACTGCCGCGTGTGTCTGCGCGAGTCTGCGCGTGTGTAGGTAGCGGTAGCGTAGCGGTTAGCGCGCTGCGCTATGAACCCAGCGACGTGGGTTCGATTCCCGCTCACGGCCAACACCAGTGACGATTTATCTGAACCGGTGCTGGGCCTCCCGTAGGTCGACTCAGCCTTAAACGAATACCTGGTGCGATGTGTAAACATCGCCACTGGGGAGACAAAGGCGACCGGGCGTGGTTCTGGCCACCCACCCCCTCGTATGCCGTTTCGGCCTCCATCGGTGCTACTCGCTAACAGCACTTGCCCCAACAGCCTATTAAGGCTACACGGAGGATTTTTGTCTCTGTCTATGTGCGCGTGTGTAAAAGTTTAATTCCTCTCAACCCCCCCCCCCCCCTCTGGCCCCCACCCCCGGTCCTTGCCCCCCCCCCCCCCCAGGCCGCGAGCCCCGCGTGCACGGAGCTGGAGACGGTGATGCTGGACTGGCTGGCGCGGACTCTGCAGCTGCCCTCACACTTCCTGGCGTGCGGAGACAGCGGGGAGGGGGGCAGCGGTGGGGGGGTCATCCAGGTGAGGGGCGGGGGAGGGGGGGTTATCCAGGTGAGGGGCGGGGGTAGAGGGGGCAGCGGTGGGGGGGTCATCCAGGTGAGGGGAGGGGGAGGGGGTAGAGGGGGCAGCGGAGGGGGGGTCATCCAGGTGAGGGGCGGGGGAGGGGTAGAGGGGGGCGGGGCGGGGGGGGATCACCCACGTGGATGGGTTCAGAGTCTATTAAAGGCTATACGGGAACCTTTGTCTCTGTCTCTAAGGGCTCCAGGGTGGCGAGATGTTAATTACCTCGCCTGGTATGAAGGAGGTTGTGGGTTCATTGCCGACCCTGAACACCTGCTATATATGTGTGTGTGTAGTTTGCACTGATCCCCGTGGTCTTTTTGGTGATTTTTTTTTACTCCAGGTCCTCCGGTTTCTGCCTTCACATTGAGAATCAACATCACGCTATAAACCACTTCGTTGAAATATCGTTCGTGATAGCCAGGTCGCCTTCTGATAAAGAGCTGCGTAGCTCAGTGGGGGCCTTACCTGGTTGCATAAAAACAGTGAAGTTGAGTTTGGTCTCTGTGTGTGCGCGACTGTGCAGGGCACGGCGAGCGAGGCGACGCTTGTGGCGATGCTGGCCGCGAGGAATCGCGCGATGAGACTGGGCCAGGACCCCCAGGGGAGCCCCGGGGAATCCGGCATCCTGGCCCGCCTGGTCGCCTACACCTCCGAGCAGGTGCCTTCGCGTGGCCCCAGTGAGGTCTTCTTCATCAACAAAGGGGTAGACCTTCTTCTTATATGAAGAAGTTCTCAGCAGCACGTAGAGCATCATGCCGGACCCTGGTGTGAGGAATGAGATGGGACCCCCTGGGATCCCCCCCCCCCACCGCTTTCCTGTTGTCCAATTGTCCCCCCCCCCACCACACTCCTATTCGTAGCCTGGGCCCTTCCTCCCGTGGGCCCGGTGCAGTTGCACCGCCTGCGCGCTCGTTAGCACCACCAAAGCAGAAGGGAGCCGTGCATGCCGGGAAGTGCGCCGGACGAGAGGCGCAACGAGGAGCACGTGGCCGAGAGAACGAACACGTGGCCGAGAGAACGAACACGTGGCCGAGAGAGCGAACACGCGTTCGATCCCATTAACCCGACTCTCGCTGGGAGAGATGATGATGATGATGGCCGATGATCGAGACTAAAATGATGGTATTTGGCAGACTACTCGTGACGGAGGGAACTTGCTAACCAAGAGGACGTGCGTCGTGGAGACGGAGCCGTAAATTGATCTCGTGCGCGAGGGCTACGTTGGCCGAATCCGTGTGCTGCTATCGCGAGGCGCTGCTTGGGGAGGCCTTCATCGAGCCGTGGCTTGCCCCGTGCCCGATGGTGACGATGGGCCGATTGTGCCACTGCGGGCGTGAGGCTCTCGTCCAGCAGTGGATTGACCGCTCCCGCGTGCCCCCCTGCAGGCCCACTCGTCGGTGGAGCGCGCCGCGATGTTTGCGGCGGTGCGGATCCGCAAGCTGCCCACAGACGGGCGCTGCTCGCTCCGCGGGGACGCCCTCAGCGGCGCCGTGGCCACGGACCGTGCCGCGGGCCTCGTCCCCTTCTTCGTGAGTTCCTCGCTCTCTCGCGCCCTCGCTCTCTTTCTCTCTCTCGCTCTCTCTCTCGCTCGCTGTCTCGCGTTGTTTGCTGGTGACTTTGTGTATTTCATATCGGAATCGCCTCCAGTGCTGTTGCTGCTGGCGGCAATAAAAGTGGTTTCAAAGTCTCTTGCTCGCTCTTGCTGTACTTGCTCCGGCAGTACATTGGGACGCAACAGAGAGGATTAGCAGGGCCCCTGCGCAAGGATGACACGCAGCTCGCTCGCTCCCCGCGACTCCTTCTCGCCCGTACCGTTCTCCCTTAGCCCGAACGTTAACTACCTCGCCTGGTATGCGAGGCAGTTGCCGATCATGACTGCCTGCTGAATATTTAGAGTTTGCGTCTCCCTCTCTCCCCGTGGTCGCGTGGATTGTTCTCCAGGTGCCTCCGATTTTCCCCTCCACATTTCAAATCAACTTCACGCGTTTATATTATTTGGCTGATGCTGCAATACATGTCCACGTGGTGATGATGATTATGATGATATCAGCCCCTTCGTTGAGCTATCATTTGTGTTAGCCAGGTCGCTTATGAAAAATATAGTTAGATAGCTCTGTGGGGCCTTACCTGGTAAATAAAAACTGTACTGTGTTCGTGACGCTACCCGCCCCCCCACCCTCCTATCAGCGGTGGGTCGAGCGGCTGCTTGTAAAGGAGACGTTCACAGGACGCGCTATCACGGCGACAGCAGCAGCAGCATCTCCTCGGCGCGCTCGCCTAGCTGCGAGCTAACAGCTGAGAGGAGCGTTGAGATGTCGCGTTTTGAATATGGAGAGAGCGGCAGAGACGACTGTTGTCCCCGAGTTGCTTCGGAAGCAGCGAGTCCCTTCCAGACGGTGTCTGGGTGCAGCTACCGAGAGAGCACTTGATGAATCGTCATGATGATGATGAATCGTCATGATGATGATGAATCGTCATGATGATGATGAATCGTCATGATGATGGTCATGATGATGATGACGGTCATGATGATGATGGTGGCGGTCATGATGATGATGGTGGCAGTTATGATGATGGTGGCGGTCATGATGATGATGATGGTCATGATTATGATGATGGTCATAGTGGTGATGGTCATGATGATGATGATGGCCATCATGATGATGGTGGTGGCCATTATGATGATGATGATGATGGTGGCCATGATGATGATGGTGGTGGCCATGATGATGGTGATGATGATGGTGATGATGATGATGATGGCCATGATGATGGTGATGATGATGGCCATGATGATGATGGTGATGATGATGGCCATGGTAATTAGAGACAATCTGAGCAGTGCTGCCATCTGCACACGCTGCGCACGTGGCCGCTAAACGGATCTGGGTGGGTCCGATGTCCGTTGTGTTTGCCTCGTAACCTCGTTAGGCGCAACACAGGCCCCTTGCTGTGACTCACACACGATGTGTCTGTGCGCATTTAGATAAGCTGCTGTTGATGATGTTTCTGTTATTGCTGCTGCTACCAATGAGACTCGCCAACTGCTGCTGATGATGGAGCATGGGTGGAGTGGTAGTGCAGTGGTTAGCACACTGCGTTATGAACCCCATCGATCTTACTTTCATTATTCCTCAGCCACGGCAAGATGTCAGTGGCAAGTCATATCTGAACCCGTACCCCCCTCACCACCCCCTCACCCTCGCCCACCCTCAATAACCTACAAGGACACAGTGACTAGCATGTTGAAGTATGGCTAAACAATGACCCGCAACCTTCACGGCGTGGAGAGGCCTTCATCCAGCGGTTGGATGGCCACGAGGGGCGTGAAGGGAGGCGGTGGCCTGCAGGGCGCGTGTCGGCGCAGGGTGAAGCCATGGGAATAGCTCCCGAGTGCGCAGGCGGTGCGACTGCGCTGTGGTTCAGTGGCCGAAGGGGCTCAGGCGCCGGGCTACAGGAAGAGGAGTGGAAGCATTGAACAGAGTGAAGGGGGCGTCCCATTGGCGAGATGTTAACCACCTCGCCTGGTGTACAGGAGGCCTTGGGTTCGATCCCGACCCTGACGCCTGCTGTCTATTTGGAGTTTGCGGTGTCTCTCTCTCTCTCCACGTTGTCGCGTGGATTTTTCGCCGGGTCCTCCGGTTTTTCCTTCCACATTTTGAATCGACATGGCGCGTTTAGAGTATTTCGCTGCTACACATTTCCACGTGATAAGCCACTACATTGGGCTACCATTTGTGGCGAGGTCACTTCTGAAAGAAAAAATAGCTTAAAATCCTTGCACCAGGGCCCGTGACAACGACACCACGGAGACCCACGTGGGCGAACACGGAGAGCCAGCGGCCTTGGCTATGGGGTGTGCAGGCGGTGCAACTGCGCGGGCGACCATTGCCAATCACGCGACGTCACTTGTTGAGAGGCCACTGAGAGACGGCGCGTGGGGGGTCTCGACGAGACGGCGGTGGCGAGAGACGCGAGCGAGGCCCCGTGTTGACACAGGGAGGAACAAAGGGGCTTGCACCTGCCTCCTCGACTGTGGTGGTTGTGTGCGCGCGTGTGCGCGCGCGTGCGTGTGTGCGTGCGCGCGTGCGTGTGTGCGTGCGTGCGTGCGCGTGTGTCTGTATTTGTGTGCACGTGTGCGCGCGTGTGTGTGCGTGCGTCTGTATTTGTGTGCACGTGTGCGTGTGTGTGCGTGCGCGTGTGTGTACATGCGCGTGTGTGTGTGCATAGGGGCCATTATTTATGGGGTCCCGGCGTTCTCTCTCTATCTGCCTCTGCGTGTTTGTTTGCGTGCGGGTTGTCTCTCCGTGTATATATGGGAAGCGGTGGTGGCAGTGGTGCCCCGAGTTCAATTCCCGCTCACAACCACCGGTGACAAGTATCTATGAGCCGGTCATGAGCCTTCCCTAGGTTGACTCAGCCTTAAATGAGTACCTGGTGTAGATATTAAAAACATCGCCACAAGGGGATACAAAGGCGGGTTGGCGTGGTCCTGACCACACCCCCCCTCGTGCGCCGGTCCGACCTTCATAGTTGCTTCTCGCTAACAGCACTTGCCCCGACAGTCTGTTAAAGGCTATACGGGGGTCTTAGTACATGCGTATAATATCTATGTGTCTGTATCGGTACTAATTTAAGGCTAAGTCGACCTAGGGGAGGCTCGGATATTTTGACCAGTTCAAATATTCATCGCTTACGTTCGCCGTGGCCGGGAATCGCAACTCGGATGGCCGGGTTCTTACCGGAGCGTGCTAACCATCGCGCCACGGCTCTCCACTTAAGAACAAATACACAGATTCCCCGTGTAGCCTTAACAGACTGTAGGGGCAAGTGATTTTAGCAAGTAGCACCTTCGAAGGCCGGGACGGCACGCGAGGGGGTGGGTGACCAACACCACGTCCGACCGCCTTTGTCTCCCCAGTGACGATGTTTACACACCGCACCAGATACTCATTTGAGGCTGAGTCGACCTAGGGAAGGCCCAGGACCGGTTCAAATAATTGTCGCCGGTGTTGGTGGCCGTGAGCGGGAACCGAACTGGGGTCGCTGGTTTGGTAGCGTAACGCACAGACCGCCACACCACCGCACACACACACAGAGAAGGGGATGTCACAACGAGAATGGCTAACAGCTAACAACCTAAACAACGCATCTAAATATAAGAAGAGGCTTTTACCCGTTCTGGCAATGAAACAGGAGCTGCGTTAAGATGTTCAAACACCAAATAGAAACCTTTTGCAAGGAATCGAGCCTGCAACAACCACACACATGACTTGTGGTGAACATGCAAACAAAAAACATGCTCTGATCATTATATACGGCGTGGTCTTTGAAACGAATTGGTCTAAACCAGAGACAGTCGTCTTTAGGACCGAGTGTCAGCCCAGAGAACGCCAAAATGTTTCTATTCGGTGTCTGAACATCTTACCACCTGTTTTATTCCCAGAAATGGTAAAACACATCATCTGCTTTTTTCACGCTTTGATACTGGCACCAAATATTAAAAAGCTCCCAAACTTAACAACCTTTCCACAATCCGCAAGGGTGAACGACCTACTTGCTGCACCGCGCGGCGATCTGCCGTTGCGGGCCTGACCTCGGCCACAACAAGTGTGGCATTCGTCGATTGGCTCGGGGGACGACTTCGCGTCCTGCAACTTGCCGGCCCAGTAATTGTCATCGCCGTCGCTCCGGGCAACGCTTTAATGCGATTGGGACGAAGATGAGGAGGCGATTTGCGGCACGAGCTGGGATTGAGGCTCTGGGTGCTGGCGTATCGTCGCTGCTATCCCAGACCACCCCGTGCTGTTCACGCTAATTATACTTATTAGCGGGTGCAGGAGCAGCCGGGGAAATTGCATCGCTCGCGTTCACTGCTGGCTGAAGGGCGCGCCCGTAACATCATCATCACCATCATCACCATCATCACCATCATCACCGTCTTCACCGTGGTCCTAGACACGTGTCGTTCTCTCTCTACCCTCTGTTCACGCTGTAGGCGAGAGACGTCTTGGAAGACGTTGGGAGAACTCACATTGTACCCCACGGCAGGTGACTTGCTGATCGAACGAGAACCATGGGGGGGGGACCCTATTTAGGGCGGCGTGGTGGCGAGGAGGCGTTCTCTCTCTCGCCTGGCACACAGGGTGCGTGGGTTCGATCCCGGACCCTGACGATGTGTGCTGTTGTTTATTTGCGGTCCGCGTATTCACTCTCTTTCTCTCTCTCCGCGGTGGTTGCATCGTGGGCGGTTTTCCGGATTCCACCGGGTTTTGCCCCCTCTCTACATTTAAAAACAATAAGCTCCTGCTATAAACTCCTACGCGTTGTGGTGGTGGGGGTGGTGGTGGTGGTGGTGGTGGTGGGGGTGGTGGTGGTGGTGGTGGTGATGGTGGTGGTGGTGGTGGTGATGGTGGTGGTGGGGGTGGTGGTGGTGGTGGTGGTGGTGATGGTGGTGGTGGTGGTGATGGTGGTGGTGATGGTGGTGGTGGTGGTGATGATGGTGGTGGTGGTGATGATGGTCTGACGATCTATCATCACGCGCGACCACGTCGCCCCGAACAAAAGCGCTCACATCTCAGTGGGCTTTAGCTCTTTAAATAAAATAGCGTATTTTATTTTATGTTAACCTCTGAGTGGATAGAGGGCGGGGGTGATGGAATCAAACCGGTGACCTCCAGATTGCAAGTTCGGCAGTGCTGTTGATCACGACACCGCTGACGTCCCTGTCTCAGCTGCAGAGATCTCGTGCGTTCGGTTGTCATTGCTTGAGACAATACGTGCGGCGAACCCGTAACCGTTTGTTTTACCAGGTTTTTGTTCATTCCTTTACCGGTATCGTAACAAAAATATATCTAAATGTTTTAACACAGCCCCTACTGACCATTACAGCACACCACGGCAGCTTTCCTGCACAATTATTACTATTAATACGTTAATAATCGTACGCAATTTTTTTTTATAAATAATCAATCGCTTCATAACGTAGAAGTACAAAATTATAATAACAATAGAGCGAGAGAGAAAGAGCGACAGATGAAAGCTGAGTGTGAGGGGTTAGCCGCTGCGTGGATGTGTGCGGTGAATAGCAGCGGGTTTGAGATGCAGAATGGAGCGAGCTGATTGGATGGGAGATAAGACTTGGGGTTTGTATTAGGCTGCAGTAAAAGAAAAACACACACACGTACACGTGCATTAACACACGTGCATGCACACGCACACGTACATGAACGCACACGTGTGTATGAACACACAGACAGACACATGCATGCCAAAGACAAAGATCCCCCGTATAGCCTGAACAGACTGTAGGGGCAAGTGCTGTTAGCGTGCACACACACATACTCTCATCACACAGACACACACTCTCATCATACACACACTCTCACCACCCTCTCATCACACACACTCTCATCACACACACACACACTCTCATCACACACACACACTCTCATCATACACACTCTCACACACACTCATCTCACAAACACACTCACACACACACTCTCATCTCACGCACACACACTCTCTCTCCAGACACACAATACCCAGGAAATGAGATGTCTTCCTACCACCTACACCACACACACCAACAGTTTTCTTGCAATATTTTTCAAAATAATATTTCGCTATTGTCCTTGTATATAAACAATTTGTTCACACGTTTGACTTGATTCGTTGAAATTTTAATCCCATATCCCCTATACATACATATATAACATATTATTCTCCGTTCCATGATTGGATAAAATTGTACGTCATATACTTACTAAATATGTAGATATATATAATATATATATAAATACACAGCATTTGCTTCTGAGGCAAGGGTTGGTGGATCACGTGGAGATGTATGAGTCTCTCGAACACCGCTTGCGCTGCGAGGTTGCAGTACAGCAAGTGGGTTCATTTAACCTCTCTATGCAGCCTTCAAAATAAATACACAGCAAGTCCTCGTTTAGCGCGATAGATGCGTTCCTGAAAAGTGCCGCGTTATGCGAAGATAATTCACCCATACATTCTGTAACATTGTTGGAATACGCACGCCACGCAGTGAGATAGCGGGACAAATAACTGAGGGTACGTCGCCGCGTTACCGTATCACTCCGCTCGGCTGTGCAGTTCAAGAAAGTAGTCCGTCGTCGACCGCTCAGAAACCGCGTTATAACGAGCGCGTTCCGCGTTATAGCGGCATCAATGAGGCGCACAATGGCAGCGACAGCGACGTGGTTCAGGAGCTCGATGCGAATGTGGAGGTCTTGCTGCTGTTCGCCACGACGAGAGGACTTCAGCAGAGAGAGAGAGAGAGGGAGTTCGCGTCGTGTCGCTGTTCCTCCTCCACTTCTGTTGAAGGAGCGCAGACCGCAGTGGGTTCATTGAGCAAAAATGGCATTGGGATTCCAGCATTCACTTGAATTATGTAATGTACAATGATGGCAATCATCATCATCATCAGCATCATCATCATCATCATTTAGAGCCCTTTGTCATTCACTGATGGTTGATGGAGGCCTCCCCACGCCATGTCGACTATCGGGAGGTTTTGTTCACCATATTAACCATACTTCACCACGCTGGCCAACACGGGTTGGTGACGAGGAGACCCAGGACCGGTGTGTGCGTGTGTGTGTGTGCGTGTGTGCGTGTGTGTGCGTGTGTGTGTGTGCGTGTGTGTGTGTGTGTGTGCGTGTGTGTGTGTGTGTGTGCGTGTGTGTGTGTGCGTGTGTGTGTGTGCGTGTGTGTGTGTGTGTGTGCGTGTGTGTGTGTGCGTGTGTGCGTGTGCGTGTGTGCGTGTGGTGTGTGCGTGTGTGTGTGCGCGCAAGTGGTAGGGTAGCGGTCAGTGCGCTGCGCTGCGAACCCAGCCACTCGAGTTCCCGATGACGGCCAACGTGTGTGACGATTATCTGAACCGGTCCTGGGCGAACCCTAGGTCGACTCAGCCTGAAATGAGTGCTGTACGTAGTGCCATCGGTACACATCGCCACCAGGAAGACAGGCGGCAGGGCGTGGTGCTGTCAAATCACCCCTCGTGTGCCGTTCGGGCCTTAATAGATGCTCGCTTACAGCCCATTAAGGCGATACGGAGAGGGGGAGCCTTTGTCTGTGTACGTGGAGTTTCCACGTGACGTAGCTCGCGCTGATTCATCATTCGATACACATCTGGTGTGTCTGCGCGTGTGTTCAACGTGACGCAGAAAGCAGTGATTGTGATTAAGATAGACATCGTGCGTGTGTGTGCTTGCGTGTGTGTCCTTTGGAGGTGTCTATTAGTCAGTGGAAGTAGCCAGGTACCTCAGAGGTCATGAAACTGAGCCGGAATCGCTGAGAGGCGATGTTTGAATGCAGGTTTCTGCCGCGGCCTTCCTGTGGCTAAGCCGATTTCTCAAGGTGCAAGTGAGTTTATGGTCTAAGTCCGGTCACCAATGGCTGACCTAACAAACAAAAAAACAACAATCACAATCATGTTCGTGCTGCACTTAATTCGGATAAATTCCAACTCTGAGAATTCCCCCAAAATATCGGTGTCACTGTCATGAGACGGAGAGTAACGCTCCGTAACAGGATGGGTGGAACAGGGGTCACGTCGAGGGACGCGCCTCAGACGTAGCTCTACGAAGTCCGCTTCCGGGGGCCCTCCTCCGCTGAATTGGATCCTGAGTCCCGTGACGTGAAACCGAGAGCACAATCTGAATTTTAAAAAAATTCCTAATACTACAAACATATATTTTACAAATATTAATATTTTAAATTAAAGAGTAAAGAGCTCATTTGCAAATCATCAGGCGCGTTCAGCGTGTCGGGATGTTGTTCACATGTGAACGGGTGAGATTGGTGAGCTGCGTGGGGGGAGGGCTGGAGCCCACGAGGACTCGAGTCGGGGAGCCGCGCGTGACGCTGTGTCCCCCCCACCCACGCACCCCCCCTACCCCCCCTACCCACGCACCTCCCCACCCACGCACCCCCCCCAACCCACGCCCCCCCCCACGCACCCCGCCCCCCAACCCACCCCCCACGCAGCTGTGCGCCACTCTGGGCACCACGCCCTCCTGCGCCTTTGACAGCATCATGGAGCTGGGACCCGTGTGTGAGTTTCTCCAACACGACCCACACACACATAGACACACACACACACACTAGCCCTGACCCTAGCCCTGCTCCTAGCCCTGTCACTAGCCCTGACCCTAGCCCTGACCCTATCCCTGTCACGAGCCTTAGTTCTGATCACCCCCAGCTTAGACCTTTGACCAAATCCTACCTCTTGTCAAGTTCTGACTCTAGCCCATCACACGAGTCCGATCTTAGCCCTGACGCTCGCCCCGAGACCAGCACCGGCCCCAGTACCCAGATCAGCCCCTGACACGAGCACTGGCCCTGCCACTACGATACGAGCCGCAACTTCGCTTGCCCCTAGCTTAGTTCAGCCCTCGCTTAGACCTCCACTTAGACCCGAACCCTCGCCCAGTGCTGAGCCTAACCCTAAGCTTCTCTCTAGCTTAGACCATATTGATGACTCTAAATCATATCCGTAACCTTGGCAACGATGCATGTATGAGGTTGTGTGCCTGTATATTTAAGTTATGGGGAGCGGTGGAGCAGTGGTTAGCGCAGTGGTTAGCGCCTTGCATTACAAAAGACGGCAACCTGAATTCGATTCTCGCTCACGGTCAACATCGGTGACGAATATCTTCACCCCACGTGTGTCGTGGCGGTGCTCGTCAACAGCACTTGCCCTACCAGTGTGTCTGAGGCTTTACGGGGAACCTTTGTCTTTGTGTGTGTCACGTGGGGCAGGTGAACGCGAGGGACTCTGGATGCACATCGACGCCGCGTACGCGGGCAGCGCCTTCATCTGCCCCGAGTTCAGACCCCTCCTCAACGGAGTCGAGGTGAAGTTGACATTCTCACCCCTCACTCTCTCTCCACTCACCATCTCTCTCGCCTCTCTCCACGCACCCTCTCTCTCCACTCACCATCTCTCTCTCTCCACTCACCCTCTCTCTCCACTCACCATCTCTCTCACCACTCACCCTCCACTCACCCTCTCTCTCCACTCACCCTCTCTCTCGCCTCTCTCAACTCACCCCCTCTCTCTCTCTCGCTTGCTCGCTCTCTCGCTCCCTGCCTCTCTCCAACTCGCCGTGCACCACGTCACCTTCCCGGCAAATCCTTTCATCTCTCTGCCCTCCCCCCTCTCTCTCTCTCTGCCCTCCCCCCTCTCTCTCTCCGAGTCGCTCTCTCTCTCTCTTCCTCTCTCATCTCTATCACGTCGTGGATCTCTGCTGCAGCTTTAAAAAACGAACCGTCCAATTTCTCGCTCTCCACCTGAGCGATGCTTTGAGCCCGGCTGCCGTTTATCTGGGTAGTGGTTGTTGTTGTTGCTGTTGCTGCTGCTGTTTACACAACCAATCGATAGCGCGATCAGACGGGAGCGCGCGTGGAGACACGTGGCGTGCCATGAGCGTGGAACACTTTTATTAGGGAGGTGTGGGAGGATGGATGGAGGTTTTCATATGTCCCGCCATATATGGAGTCTCACTTCAAGTGTCTCTCTCTCTGTCCGTGTCTCTGTGTGTGTGTCTGTACATCTTGCCGTGTTTTGAGTCTGTCTCGCTGTGCGCCTCTGTATCTCTCGCCTTGTCGCTCTCTGCAGATGTCTCTCTCTCTCTGCAGATGTCTCTCTCTCTGCAGATGTCTCTCTCTCTCTCTGTATGAGACATGGCGAGGATTATTGCCAAACGCGTCGAGTTTTCTCCATCATTGACAAGTGCCCCGTGTTCACCTCGCCAAAAACCCGCGCACAACACCAAAGACAAAGACTCCCCCATGTAGAGCCTCTTCACCAGACTTGTTAGGGCAAGTGCTGCTGGCGGGCGGGCAGCACCTACGATGAAGGGCAGCACCACGCCCCGCCACCTTCGTCTCCCTCGTTTGCGATGGTTACTCGCAGGCACCAGGTACTCGGTGGAGGCCGAGTCGAGCTACCAACCACCACCACCACTCCGGCCCGACAACCACAACGCAACAACCACAGCGACACGTGTGCTCTCCGCGCGCTGCTGATTGCCTTCTCTGGCGGAGCGGCGACCTCATTAAAGCCGCGCGCCTCCGAGTGGGGCGCGCGCACGCGGAGTGTCACGCCGCGATTGCCGCGATTGCCGCGATTGCCGCGTTCGCGCTCCGGTCACGTTTGTCCATCCCACCAGCCGCCCTCCTCCTCCTCCTCCGCCGCCTCCATTCCCAGAGAACAGCGCTCAAGTGGCAGCGCCTGAGGCAATTTGATATCTGGCGCAGCAGGCCGGGAGGGCGGTAATTGAGACGGACGTGGTGGTCGTGATTGCTGTGGTGGTGGCGGTGCTGGTGCTGGCAGTGGTAAAGTTGGTGGTGGCTGTGGTGGTGGCGGTGCTGGTACTGGCAGTGGTATAGTTGGTGGTGGTGGTGGTGGTGGCAGTGCTGGTGCTGGCAGTGGTATAGTTGGTGGTGGTGGTGGCAGTGCTGGTGTTGGCAGTGGTAAAGTTGGTGGTGGCTGTGGTGGTGGCGATAATGGCAATGCTCCTGGTGGTGGTGGCGGTAGTGGTGGAGGCTCTTGTGATTCTGGTGGTGCTGGATGATGACGACGACGATGATGATTGACAACCTGAAGGGAGGATGACGACTCTGACGACGTTGAGCCGAATCATCCCAGTAACGGGGATTTGTAGTGGCGCCCCATTCAGCTCGTGAGTGAGCGGAGCGCTGTGCCGCGCCGGGGTCATCAACGCGCCACCGTTGCTCCGACGGCTCAAAGGTCAAACTCCAGACTCGGACCCGCGATAAGGGGCACGGCTCTCGGCTCCGGCACGTAGCCTTGCGACCTTGGACGCCCACGGGCGAAAGGAGTTTCACAACAAACATCCTCATCATGGGACCTCCTTTGCCAGTGCAAAAGTATGATAATAGGTTTTTCCCCTTGTATCTGGCAACAAAACAGGTGTTAAGTTGCTTAAACACCAAACTGAAACCTTTTACAAGGAATCATGTCTACATTAACCGCAATACTTGTTTTGCAAACAAAAAACATACTCTGATAATATATGCATTGTCTTTGAAACTGATTGGTCCACACTAGAGACAGCTTTCTTTTGAGCCTCGTCTCAAGCGGTGTTAGACCAGAGGATGCCAAAAGGCGTACAGCACAGAGACAATGAAAGCTCGGGGTGAGCATCTACAACAAACATCCACCAACCCACGGTGCTGGGTTAAAGGCAGCCACGTGCAGCGGCGTAGCCACCACCGGCCCCTTCGTATTCTCGCGGTGGTTGGGATCGCTCCCACAATCCATTGGAAATATTTCATGTGGTGTATTTTCTTTTCTTTTTGTCTCAGTTTGCAGACTCCTTCAATTTCAACCCGCACAAAATGATGGAGGTGAACTTTGACTGCTCGGCCATGTGGTACGACACTCGCGCGCTCACTCTCTCTCTCATTACCCACGACAACAACTACACTCCGCTCGACCCGTGGCGTCCCACGCTTTAATGCGCAAACGGGGGGCTCTGAAAAGCCTGCGGGCCTGGCGTATAGTCGTGGAGCAGCAGATTTGTGAACGTTTGGTTAACATAAATAGTGTAAGAGGCGGGTTGGTGGCAGGTGTTATGGGTTGCTGGGACCACCCAAGCAACTGTTGTACTGCACTTATGTGTTCCCGTGTCTATACTCCCTCCCGCCACCTTCACCAACACGCACTGACCAACGTGGAGAGGTATCGTGCAATAACGCCCCACCCCCACGCGACCTGCAACGGCATGGGCAGGCCCTCGTCGAGCAGCGGAGTGGCACAGCGCTGTAAAGGAACAGATACCGGTCGTTGGTGAGGGTTTCAGTGGAGTGGCACAGCGCTGTATAAGTACAGATACCGGTCGTTGATGAGGGTTTCAGTGGAGTGGCACAGCGCTGTATAAGTACAGATACCGGTCGTTGATGAGGGTTTCAGGGACACTAAACCAGCCATCTCTGCGGACCTAGATTCGAGTTTGGCTCCGAGTCGCCCCAGGTTTGCAAGTGTACCGAGTTGATGTCTTAGTCTGGTCACAAGCAACTGCACAGAAAAAAAATACCCCGTTATTATAAATGTGGCTTTCCACTGCGTTTGCTCTACTCCCAGCTCCAAAACTTTACTGTAAAACAAAATCCGCTTGACTGGGAACGTGTCTCTGCCGGCAGGACATTGCGAGTAAGTGCTGCCCCCTAGTGTGTAAGTAGAATACGTCACTTCAATGGACCTCAAGCAGTTCTGTGATATCTCCTTCTACGGGGCATTCCCTAACGCTCGGCGGGGGGGGGGGGGGGTAACTCGCTGCTCTCTGGGATTTACTAATGGAAACTTCATCTCACGAAAGGACACCCCAGATAGCGCAGCTGGTATGACAGGAATTTCAAAGAGTAATCTATTAAGCGATTACCCAATGCCATCGCAATACTCGGGCTTTGAGGCCATCAACCGCCCTTCAATCTCAACCAGGTCACCGTAGATCTTTGAGTGGAATTGGCCAAACGTCTCAACGCAGGGCTGTCCTTTAAACACGCCTTGAGACTCGGCGAGGCTCTACGCGCAACGTTAAAATCGTGCAGCTGTCGCGGCAAATACGGCACGGCACTCAGTGCCAATCCACTGCTGGTTGAAGGCCTCCCCCACGCCGTGTCGGCGACGTGGCGCGGAGTGGTGGCACAGTGGCCAGCACGCTGCGTTCTCAACCCTCGGGGCCACGCGAGTTCGATTCCAAGCCACGGCCAACATCTCAAGCTGGCCCTTTGCTCCTCCCCCGTTAACTAATCTCTACTCTCCAGTGTGGAGAAGTACGGTCCAACCCCTCCCCCCTACTCCCCCATGGACTCTGCCACGTGAGATTCGCAAGCGACGCTCGCCAATTTGCGTGGTGATCGCTCCGCAATTGGGGGTCGCGTAATTGCGGCGATCGATGCGTGATTGCGGCGTTTGCCTGAGCAAGTCGTTCGGCTATCAATTATTTGTTCAGCCGCGGCACATTTCAGATGTGGCCGATCGCAGAGTCTAACCGACTCTCTGTCTCGCTCGCTCGCTGAGCTCAAGGGCAGATCCACGGCTCAAGTTGCCTCCACTCCCTCCGATCTCACTCCCTCCCTGCCCCATCACCCCACACTCCTTCGCACTTTACCCAGTAAACAGGTTGACGTTGGCGTAATGTTGCCCTAAACGTTTGGCGCAACGTTCCCCCTCGTGAACGCTGCGGGTGTCTTGCCCGTGCCTGTGCCCGCTGCGCGTCGTCTGCCTCACGTGCGCGGACGTCAACAGAAAAAACAACAACAACAACAACATCTCGTGACGTCGTTCGACAAGAGAGCAGGCCACGCGTGCCGGCGTCACGGCCAGACATCGCCAACATTTTTTACTTGCAACAACAACAAAAATTGCCCGCGAATGAACGATTTGGGAAACACGCAGTGAACATTTCCCGTGAACCACTGCACTAGTTGTGTTGTGCTTACATAAATTAGGCAAGCTGCTCCGAAGATGAATTGAAGGGCAATGGGATACACAGTGACACCGTCACTCTGCGGGTAAAGTGTTCTACCCATGGACGAGGCAGATCGGGCGACTTGCAAAGACATCGGCCACGAACTGTTTTGCGAGCCACCACTCGTCAATCTCACGCCACCTGGTGACCCCCTTAGGCATCGCCCTTCATTAAACTGGACAGCTCCGGGCTGTGCGAGTAAATCTTGAACAGATTGGACTGTACTGTGCTCCCACGTCTATGGTCCCAGTTTTCGCCAACCTCTGCTGTTGTATTATTGCGTACGGCAATGCGGCTCACGAGCTCGATGCCAATGTCGAGGTGCTGCTGCTGCTACTGGCCACGACGAGAGGGCTTCAGCAGAGAGAGAGTTCGCGTCATTCCGCTCTTCCTACTCTTCTCCCTCCGTGTCGTGTCGCCGTTCCTTCTCCGCCGTAGGAACGCAGAGCACAGTGGGCTAACTGCGTGGTCCGGAGCGTGGTTTGCATGGCCACAATCGCACGACTGTGCCTTGTCTTCAGTGTATCTCTATGGGTCGCCTATGGGTTTACTATATTGCCCCATAGTGTGTATACTGAACTTCTTTCGCACCGCACGTAGCCAACCGCGCTAAGCGGAGATGCGAAGCCACAATCGCACTCCCGCCGTGGCTCGCGTCGTCAATGTGACACTCACGGAGGCCGTGTGCGCAGCGGCCTGCTGCTCATGCTGATGTTCTGATGCCGTTGTTGATGGTTCCTCCTGCGTCCTCGAGGAGGAGGGAGGAAGGAGGGGGAAGAGGGGGAGGAGGGGGGAGGAGGATCAACGCCTTGAGGAGGTGCGGTGATGATGTGTGGGTTTCGGATGATGAGTTTATTCTGGACGCCCTCGTTGCTCCACTCTGTTCGACCAACTCTGCTGAAACCACGTGGTCTCATAGCCGCCTGGAACCGCGCGGCGTGGGAAGGCCCTCATCCAGCAGTGGATCGATACAAGAGAAAGAGTGAGGGGGGAGAGGGTGGCTGTATGCGTCCATTACCCAGCCAACCTCTCTTGTCGTGCAGGGTGAAGAGCAAGGCAGACCTCATCAGCGCCTTCAAGATGGAACCACTGTACCTGAAACACGACCACCAGGAGTCGGGTGAGGTTCCAGCTGCAGCCCTTACGCCTCACCGCCGCGGATTCATGTCAGCCAGAGCTGGCCGGGGCTGAGCTCCAGAAAATATTTCCCCCACCGCCACCGCTCTCCTTCGCTGTCGGGAGGTGATGCGAGTTGGGTGGCCCAGGAAAAATTCGATGAGAAGTGAAATCCGCGCTGTGACCACCTCGTTCGCTCATCCTCTCCATCACAACTTTCTTCACTATCATTATCAAGCCCATTCCACCTTCTTACTACCAATTATGTATTTCAAACTAACAATCCTGTTCTTTCTATTCTTCTTTTCTGTCCTGATGTGTGCAGGACTTATTACGGACTACAGGGTAAACTATTATAATTAATTTCTCCTATATGGTGATTTAAATGTTCAGTAACAGTTTGTGACTGAGAACAACGAATTACTCGTCTCTGTATCCCCGTGTCTCACTCCCTCACCACCACGCGTCTCACTCCCTCACCACCACGCGTCTCACTCCCTCACCACCACGTGTCTCACTCCACCACCCCACGTCTCACTGCACCACGTGTCTCACTCCCTCACCACCACGTGTCTCACTCCCTCACCACCACGCGTCTCACTCCACCACCCCACGTCTCACTCCCTCACCACCACGTGTCTCACTCCCTCACCACCACCACGTGTCTCACTCCCTCACCACCACGTGTCTCACTCCCTCACCACCACGTGTCTCACTCCCTCACCACCACGTGTCTCACTCCACCACCCCACGTCTCACTCCACCACGTGTCTCACTCCCTCACCACCACGTGTCTCACTCCACCACCCCACGTCTCACTCCACCACGTGTCTCACTCCCTCACCACCCCGTGTCTCTTTCCCTCACCACCCCGTGTCTCACTCCCTCACCACCACGTGTCTCGCTCTGACCCTGGCCCCGTGTCTCGCTCCCCCCAGCACTGGCAGATCCCGTTGGGGCGGCGCTTCCGCTCGCTCAAGCTGTGGTTCGTGATGCGGCTCTACGGGGTCGAGGGGCTGCAGGAGCACGTGCGCAAGGTAAGCTACAGCCGCACTCGCAACAACAACAACAACAGCAGCAGCAGCAACAATAACAGCAGCAGCAACAAC